AAGCATTCTCTGGATTATCTTCGGCTATGAGGTGTGCGGATGGAATAACAGGGCAGTTCCACCTCTTCCAGAAACTCTAGGCCACAGTTTAAGCAGTGTGCAATGCAATTCAGCCGAACTTTCACACAGCATTTGCCGGATTATCGAATTTCATCAAGTTCTATACCATCGCCCTTTCCAGTGCCATTAAGATGTTCCACTTGTCAGATCAGAAAGCCCAAAGGAGTGCGACACATCCAGCAAATTTTTCCGAAAGAACGACGCCAAAAAGTGGAGAAACGGACTTCAGATCCATAACGAAGCTGGATACTAGCTGTTGATGCATCCATGGCCCAACAAGACGTGGAAAGACTGTGAAGATGTCCTACGATGAAATGGCAGCTCACTAAACATTCAAAACGAACCTGAACGGCATCATCAAAAATCACTAGACGACGATCAAGCGGTCGTAATCAACTGAACGGTATGCAGAACTGACTCACTTAAAACGGAGTGATATGGGACCACAGTGGCTAAACTGCTGATGCATCCCAATCCTTCCTGACTGCTACCATTCCAGGCAGTGTGGAGGATTTGCCGAAACTGAGTAAGAGCGAAAGCTGCTAAAAACCAACCTTCTACTCCACTGGCCGGCTCGCACAACACCACTACCATGTATCAGTATAACAAGGTGCTCTTTTGAATCCCAGCCCTCGCTGAGGAAAATAAATGAATTGCTTTCCTTGTCGCCGTCACCGAACTGCAAGTATTCGCTGTTAGATTTTCAGCAATCGGCAGAAGGACGTGGCACCTCCATGCGTAGCGCTCGCTATTACCAGTGATTCTCGGACGGGCTTACGATGCGATATTGAGAAGGCACAAAAATAGGAGCCATTTATCATTCGGTACATTTATCATCTGGGATAAAAAACATGGCAAACTGTCCGGAAAATGCAACCACAAACTCTACTGACTAACTGTCCCTGCGGCTCTTTTATATTGAGATGCGTTATATATCGCGCACTTAGCTACGCCAAATTCTCTCGTCCCGGGCTCCAGAAGTCCAGTTTCTCGGTTACCTCAACTATACACGCACTGTATCTCTTCGCAGTGACAGCCGATGCGGGCATTTCGCTTCCGCAGGTGCCACTCACAGATAAAGGACGTTCGCCAACTCGTAAAGTCAATAAGTGCAACAAAATTCACACCTATACCAGAAGAGCCATTTCATTTCATAACTGCAATACATTCCCCTCCCACAACCATTGGATTTTTTGCACCAAAGACAACTGTGCAAATTAAAGCAACAGCATACATATTCCCTGGTCATTTTATACTGCGGACTCTCCATTATCTGATAAATTTCTTCAGTGACAGCTGCACCGAGTTTTTCGTAACTCGCTTGATCAACAAACACGTACTGCTGACCGTCCTGAAAAACTGCTACAAGTCTGCTTAGTCTGCAGAAGGTATTCTTTAAACTTTTTCTTTATAAAAATTATTCTACTTCAACAATTTACAGAACTAAAATCCTTCATTTTTCTCCCAACAGAATCGGTTCTCATTGCCTGTATATGGGAAGCACCGTGGCACCGCAGCACAGGGTCCGGAGAATCAACTTTCATCATATCTGGTGTGCCACTCACACACGCAGTCCCGTACAGTGGCCCAGAAACACCGGCGCTTCAATACAAAAAGCTAGCAAGCACGTCGCTCTGGAATTTAATAAATAGCAAAGCACACCAGAATAGCCGGTGCGATTATGCGTTTTGTGCACTTCGTTCACCGAACGATTGCCTGTTAACGATTTTCACTGCTTTGTAGTTTAGTCTGTGCAAAAATAGTTGGAACATTAAAAAATAATTAAAAATTTCACACACCGACAATGAAATCTCACGCACCGGCACTACCGCAAAACTGCACCTTCTTGGCTTTCATGGTTTCTCCCCGTCAAAATTTTCAGAAGGCATGGCAGCTGAATTCAAACGGAAGCAGAATTCAAACCGGAGAGGTCGTACCCAGTCGGGGAAAATCCTATTAATGAATTTTCAACGCCCAAGCTTTGGTGGTTCCCGAGATAATCATTTTTCCCGCTAAACATTGTGCGGGGTCATACGTGATACCCGCGGGCAAATGAAGCCGAATTTAAGTTTACGGGGTCAAACGTGAGCGGGGAACATGCCATCAAAACCTCATTTTTTCAGCTTTTGTGATGCCCGCGATAATTTTTCCCGCCAACACGTTTGCGGGGTCATACTTGGTACTCGAGAGCAAGTAAAGTCCGTGGGCGAGGAACATTCTACCAAAATCTCAGCATCCCAGTCTTCGTGGTTCCCGAGATAATTTCCCCTGCTAAAACTTTCGCGGGATCATACGTGTTGCCCGCGGGTAACTGAAGGCCGAATTTAAGTTCGCGGAGTCAAACGTGGACGGGGAATATTCTAGCAAAATTTCAGTGTTTCAGCTTTCGTTGTTCCCGAGTTGAAAGCGCGGGACAAAACGTACTCGGACACACAAACACACACACACACAGACAACCCCACGATAATACGCGTTTTTTACTGCTGTTACACAACAAAAAAACGCATAAAAAACGGCACCTTGTCTCGCAAGACGCCATGCTCGTCAAAATGATAGCCAAACGGCTGCAGGATCGGCTTTCCATCGTTGCTTGTTGCTGAAACAGTATCTGAATCACTGTCAAGTGCTGCACAGGCTCAATCGAATGGTTTACAACAGTAACACTATGCTGCGTTCCGAGAAATTATTTACCGGTCTGTGGGTGAGACGAATCCATAGCGACTGAAATTAGCCACTGACAGGTCACGTAATGAAGAGCGCAGCCAACTGACAAATCCTGCAAAAAAAGATGGTATTTCTAACAGAACGGTGATACTCATTCGAAGAAGCACTAAAACAGACCAAACTTCACTGGACCAGACCAGTGAGAGGAGCAAGGAACAAGAGAAGGGTGCGTAGAGCACGGTTTGCCGGCATTTCGTTGCAGATCATATAGTGACGACTCACCTCAACTGAACACACGCCACACCTCGAGCAATACAGAACAGTTGCCGCGCATGTTAGCTGGAACTCGGCCGCTTAATATGGAACATCGCTTTGTGGAGCTCCGCACTCGCAGAAGACGGGCTTCCCATCGAGGTGTTACATCGAGTTCACCGGCTCCAGCTCAGCATCAAATTTCTTGATGGACGCCAAAAACTCGTGTAATCTTTCCCGCAGAATAATCCCC